AATTGTCGGCAGAGTTCAAATACTCCAGAACGCCAGCCGTCATTGTAACGACCAGGACATTCAATTTCACACTGTCGATGTCAGCAGAAACCCATTGGCTGTATTCAGCGTCAACTCATCGGGTTGGATGCACGTGGAATCGTTATCAATAAACGGTTCTACTTCAAAGCGTAAGTCTTGTATTAGCTGATACTTATCATGTCACCTGTCTTATACATTTTACCCGGCCCCTTTCCTGTTCTAATTCTTATACAAAAAGTATCGGAAGAAATTTTTGTCTTTAGATATGGCTCACTGGTGCCGAAACCCGCACTATAAGCATAGGTTTTCACCTTTCCTAAAAATATTCATTTATAACAGAAAATTTAAGTGGTGATTTCTGGAAAGTAATAATAAAAAAATCTTTTACATTAAGAAGGCGATAATGAAGCTGTTCTATCTTCGCCTTATAAAAAGTAATGCAAATTTTTTTGAGTTTATCGATGAAAATAATATCATTTAAATATTTGTGTATTGTTTTCAAAAATGACTCCTCAAGATAGCATTGATATGAAAGCATTTGTCCATTTACAAAATAACACCCCAAAGCATATTGTTTTTCATTACATATTGTGATGGTGGTCACCGTGCACTCCTTTTATAAAGTGATGGGGTTGGTTATTATTAGATCATAAATACCCCTAGTCTACGAAAGTGAAAATTATGTAAGTTCCGTCAGAACATTTAACAAGTTACCACTATTACATCACTACTGAATGAGCAAACACCTCTGGCCAAATGGTAAAAAAACGATACGCTTTCTTCAAAGGACAAAGTAAATTTTCAACTGAAAATTGATGTCTTCACTTTAATTACACTCAAATCTCCAACAGGTTTATTGTAATGATCCAACCGAAATCTCCCTTGATGGAATTTGTCCCTGAGTGTCTATAGTGTTAATAGATCAACGTAAAACCATTTTGTTTCAGAAATTGAATTACAATTAAGGCTCAGACAAATCCGATAACGGCTATAATGTGGAGGCATTGGTAGAGTAATTTATTTCTACCATTGTTTCTGGTTAATAGCACGATAGGAGTCTTAAGGATGGTGTTAATAGCGGTCTTACATTATTGCCTATTAAATTTTCATTTGTATCAGAATTTTTGTTACACAAGCTCAGACAACTTTATATGACCGTTCTTTTCCTTCTATAGACGACAGCTGTTATTATTGGTCAAGAAATATTCGAGAAAGTTTTAACCTGTAACATCAGTAGTCTGTAGATAATGACAGATTTACATCCCAACTCGTCACATAAGGACCTTGTTATGTACCGATATTATTTTGTCTGATGTAATCAACTATTTCTTTGTTATTTGCAGAGAATACACATAAACTTGAATTATCAGTTTCTTGCGGTGGTGAATTTTCGGGAAAGGTTCCTATTATAATACAGCCAAATGATCAGTGCCCTTGTGCGATACCACACCACAATACAACGGCATGGGTTTCAAAAGTCTGCTTTCAAGAAGAAGAATTGCATTTTATTGTTGAGGAAAATACTAAATCCGTCCGACTAGGAAACGTTGTTTCTTGTGAGTTTGGACATGGATTTAACAGAACTTACCATATCACAACAGGTAAGTCCTGACGAGTAGGAATTTAACAGAACTTACCATATCACAACAGGTAAGTCCTAACGAGTAGGAATTTAACAGAACTTACCATATCACAACAGGTAAGTCCTAACGAGTAGGAATTTAACAGAACATACCATATCACAACAGGTAAGTCCTAACGAGTAGGAATTTAACAGGACTTACCGTATCACAACAGGTAAGTCCTAACGAGTAGGAATTTAACAGGAGGTACGCCACAACGAGTATAATTTTTGGGACAGATCAGAAAAATAAAATGGCCGGCAGACAACCATCTTGGTTTTTCCAAAGAAGTTTGTTATCGCTATTCCTTGAGAAGAATCAGATGGATCTCTCTAAAAATTCATTTGTAGGTTTTCCTTAATCTCTAGTTGTACCGGTTTAATTTTGGGACCGAAGACGGCCATCCTGGATTTTGACTTTTAAAGTTTTATCGCTCTTTCCTGAGAATTACTGCATAAGTTTTTCTCAAATTTCATGTGTAGGCTCCCCTTTGTCCGTTGTTGTGCCCATTTGATTTTGGGACTTATCAGAAAAAACAAAATCCCTTCCAAGTGAGCACCTTGGATTTGGCAGTTAAAGTTTATTATTGCTATTTCTGCAAAGCATTAATGTTCAAATCCTTATCATTAAGAGCAGACACAGAGAAAAGACGACAAAGAAGGACAATATCCAGTTTTCAAAAAAAAAAATAAATAAAGATCAAACAATGATTGGCGCCAAGATTCCCCTGGGATCTCTTGTTTTCTAATGGTGACGTTTCTTTTTTTATATTCTAATTAGTTGTGACGTGGTTTCTTTTCGTGATATATTTAGTTTTTACATGTTTCCTTTTTAATGCTATATAAATTCTGCTATGGCACTTTTCCCCTCATGCTATTAAAATTTCGCTGTGACTCGGTTCTCATTTTGGAATATCCTAAATTGGCTGTGGAGTGTTTCCGGTCATAATATTTTGATTAATTGTGACGTTTACATTTAATAATGTTTAATAACTTTAACACTTTAACATATTTATGACCTTATTCTCTATTTTGAATTAGTTTTGACATGTTTCCTTTAAGATGCAATATATATTCCTCTATGTCGCGTTTCCCCTTCATACTGTTTGAATTTTCGTTGTGGCTTATAAATATTACTTAGATTTTGCGATGACGTTTCTTATTGTATGATGTTACATTCCGCCGTTTATTATACTTCTATCGCCTCTTGAAAAAAACCGTTTCTGGCTAATGACTTTTGTGATTTTTCAATTCCGTTTCATAATGGCCGCTGTAACGGTTGTTACATCATCCTGTGATCGTGCAAAAACATATTAGAAATGTTTAACTGATTACACGTACGGTTACATGGGTTATTGGTAGCTACATGTTATATGATATGTTGATAATACGTGCCCTTGTATGATGCCCATTGTATTCAGAAGAAAATTTAGTCGGCTTATTGTCAACAAAGATCTCTACGTTAATTTAGGGATGCCTTCGTGGCAATTTCTCCGCGCTCGCGATGTGAAAATTTTCCCGTCTTAATATATGGTTTCTTCTAAAAAATGTGAACTTAGATAATAGGTATTTTTCATTTCCATCGCACAGTAGAGGAAGCCATTTTTGTCAAAGAAGCCTACAGTATGACCATCAAAGAGACTCGGTAAGCTCGGCTCGTTTTAGTGTGACTTCCATATTCCGTACAGCTCGCTGTAGGTAGCAGTCGCACCTACGTCTAGCCATTTCCTACACGTCGATACCAGGGGCTATATGTCAGAAAACACAGCTGGCCAATATCTGGACAACCGGAAATTGTTTTCTTACTACAATACCAAGAATAAAACCAATGATGTTTTTTCCTACTTCGTATTCTACATGTGCCCATGTAACAAGCATTGTTCAGTCAATTTGTAATGAATTTATTAACAAATATGTGAACATTTCACCCGCATTTTTTTTTCGTGATAATTCTGTCTATAGATTCATCTTTACAGACAATTACCTGTTTTTTTTTTTAGTTTTTTTTCCCTTCGATCCACAGAGTTTAATTTGTTTAGGTCCCACGTGCCAATCCTAATTTGTAAGGCCTGTTGTTCTAAATGTGTGATGATGTTTTTTATTGCTTTACCCACCAAGGAGACCATTCTCAGTGTTTACTTATGACGCTTCAGTATTATTGTGAGAATACCATGTAATATACACCAACCCGTGCTTGATCTTATTACATTCATGTACAGAAAGAAATCTTTAAAAACACTATTTTATCGCTGACTCGTCTAGAGCTCAATTGCGTTTGTTTCACCGCCTTTTTTAAATAATCATTCTTGATTGTGAAGGATGACTCCCTTATTCAAGAAATGAAATTAAAGAATAGTGGATTTTGAAGAATTTCAAAAACGTTTTTTTTTAATTAGCCATGGGTTTCCAATTATGATAGGAAGACCGTAGTTACACCGCGAACAGTTCTCAGTTTAACTCGTCAATAGAGTAAAGGTGGTCCCTGAAAACCATTTGTCATGAATTATTCCATAGAATATCCCAAGATTTAGAAGACCTACTCCCGATCAAGACAAATTAGAAATATACTTACTGAATTCCTTTGTCGAGTTTAAGACCTTCTCAACTGACGCTCTGCATGTATTTTAAAACAAACGATGCCTCTTTCTTGTCAGGCTTACATTTTGGTTCCCATTATTCGATGGTTCAGATTTTTACGATGTAAACAAAGCTTGAAGCATCAATGGTGTATTTTTTTTTATAGAAGTCACGAAACACACTATGCCTTTGTGTATCAACGATATTTTCATGGAATTTATTCTAACCCAGGTTTTTTTTCATGAAAGATAAGACACTGTGTAAATAACGAAATTAAACACCGCGAAATAACGAATGATAGAATATTCAGAAAACAATGAAAGATGGAAAGCTACGAAAATAATGAAAGGTAGACGCCGCCTAAACAAAGACAAACAACACCATGAAAACAAAACACCACGAAAACAAGGATATAACACCACGAAAACAAAGAACACCACGAAAACCAATATAGAACACCACGAAAACAAAAGATATAATATGTGTTATTATTTTAGAAAGTGACATATTTAGACTGAGCATAAATTGACTAGGTGAATAGAATGTAGCACATTCCCCGTATAGTAGATTTTTCCTTAAACGTTTAAATATTGTGATAAATCTAGTGTTTTTCGTCAAACGTTAGTATCCTGATATACACAAATTCAGAATTTAACACCTGATGTTGTAGATCAGGGGGGATGGGGGTTTGAAGGCATTTCTCCGAGTTCATGAATACCGTGTTTATGAATTTCCTATACGAAGTTACCTGTGGGTTATGTTTAAATATCTTCTCCCGCAGATTCTCTGTCAGACAAATTCGAGGTTGATGGAGCTTCAGGTGAGGTGTTTTTATTGTCGGCCTTCGACAGAGAAGTGGAGGACAAGGTCAGCTTCAGTTTACAGTGTTCCGTCAGCAGGGATGGCAGATTAGTCGGCGAGACCGTAACTGACGTACATATCGCCATCGGGGACACGAACGACAACCCAATTTTATTTCAGAACAACAAGGACAGAGACACTGTCAATTACACATCAGAAAAACAGGTATAATGGTGGTTACCATATATGGTGGTATAAAACATTATCTATATATGCTGTTCATCATGTTGGATATTTGTGGATCAACACAACATAACAATATCTCGTGTTGAAGGTGGAAGCAGTATTCATGGCTATCGGTACTGAACCAGAACTAGGTGTAATGGTTGGTACAGTATTTCTTGTTGTACATGTAGTGGTTCAATCCTATTTGTTAAGTTATTCATTTCGCGAAGAAAATATTTCGTTAACAGTTGGGTAACCACATGGTTTTTCCTTCAAATAGGCCTTTCCTTTACTATATTCAATGTTTATAAACGCGATTTATCAATATTTAAGACCTTTAAAAATATTTTTATTGCAGTTGTATAGTGTGGTGCTAAATGATCGGGATCTGCTAAGTTGTGATCATCACAGAACGCACGTGTCACTGGACCCTCGTGGCGCCTGTAGTCACACTGCAATCGACATCGGTCACCATCTTGGTTCTGGACCTTCTCGCCATGTCGTTTGTCGGCTAAGTAAGTTTGCGTCATCATCTGGACTCTAGACCTTTTCGCACTGTTGTGTGTCAGCTGGCTGTGTATTGGTCACTATTTGGGTTCTGTTGACATTATATATATTTCATTAATATTTATATTTTTCACGAGTTCATTTTCACGTACTCCTGAAATATATATGATCTTAAACAGGAAACAATTGAACTTATATTATTATTTTGAAAATAGATGTTTGATCGTCTGGAAAATGGCTACATTAGTTTATATGGCTATAAACGTTATGGATAATATCGCGCAAGTTTAACTTAACGTTTAACTGTCGTGTTTACATTTTGTACTTTCACTTTTCAACTACCGACGTGGAGATTGTTTACAGAAGTGTTATCACAATGCACTCTGAGAGAGGTTGGTCGCGCTGGACAACAAGACGACGCCATTTTTAATCAGTTGATTTACGTTGCATAGAAATGTACATGATTTATGTCTGATGAGATGGAACTGCAACTGATTCAACTTTCGCTTCAGTTTCGTCCGAAAATTGTCGAATTTCACAGGAGTGATTTGAAAACATCAGTCTCGGTCAAAACTACGAAAGTTATATCATCACTGGAAAATTTATATGATCTGGGATATATCGTATATTATAAGTTTCAAACTGATAAACTCCTATATTTCGCTGGCAGAGATATAATAAAATTCACACGTAAATTATAATACATGTAACGACTCTGATTAATGTTCATGCTGTCTTATTAGTCTGACTGATGTACATGTTGTCTTATGTCTGATTAATGTACATGTTGTCTTATTAGTCTGACTAATGTAGATGTCTTATTAGTCTGACTAATGTACATGTTGTCTTATGTCTGATTAATGTACATGTTGTCTTATTAGTCTGACTAATGTAGATGTCTTATTAGTCTGACTAATGTACATGTCTTATTAGTCTGACTAATCAACGTATTGTGACCGTGACTAATGTATGTTATTTACATATGACTAATGTACGTGGTATTTGTATGTACATGTTATGGGTCAGACTAGTGTACGTGTTATGGGTTTGACCAATGTATGTGTTATGACCATGACTAATGTACGTGTTATGGGTCTGACTAATGTATATGTTTTGGGTCTGACTAATGTACGTGTTATGGGTCTGACTAATGTACGTGTTATAGGTCTGACTTATGTATGTGTTATGGGTCTGACTAATGTACGTGTTATGGGTCTGACTAATGTATATGTTTTGGGTCTGACTAATGTACGTGTTATGGGTCTGACTAATGTACGTGTTATGGGTCTGACTAATGTACGTGTTATGACCATGACTTAAGTATGTGTTATGAGTCTGACTAATGTATGTGTTATGGGTCTGACTAATGTACGTGCTACGGGTCTGACTAATGTATGTGTTATGGGTCTGACTAATGTACGTGTTATAGGTCTGACTTATGTATGTGTTATGGGTCTGACTAATGTACGTGTTATGGGTCTGACTAATGTATATGTTTTGGGTCTGACTAATGTACGTGTTATGGGTCTGACTAATGTACGTGTTATGGGTCTGACTAATGTACGTGTTATAGGTCTGACTTATGTATGTGTTATGGGTCTGACTAATGTACGTGTTATGGGTCTGACTAATGTATATGTTTTGGGTCTGACTAATGTACGTGTTATGGGTCTGACTAATGTACGTGTTATGACCATGACTTAAGTATGTGTTATGAGTCTGACTAATGTACGTGTTATGGGTCTGACTAATGTACGTGTTATGGGTCTGACTTATGTATGTGTTATGGGTCTGACTAATGTACGTGTTATGGGTCTGACTAATGTATATGTTTTGGGTCTGACTAATGTACGTGTTATGGGTCTGACTAATGTACGTGTTATGGGTCTGACTAATGTACGTGCTACGGGTCTGATAATGTATGTGTTATGGGTCTGACTAATGTTCGTGCTATGGGTCTGATAATGTACGTGATGCTGAACTTCTCGTGATGCACTTATTTTCTTGATTTATGGTATCAAACGATAAAACAAACATCTGCTATTTGATATGTTATTATACCAAACTACGAAGCAGATGGCTTGTTACACGGTAGTTGACTTATCATATCGTGCCGACGACAAATGCACATATGGTCGGCCAAACCTCAACAACTGTAGCCATGTCCACCCGCCAACAATTCCGGGAAATCGTGCTTGTCCAATAACATGCCAACTGATTGCAGTGATCGTCAGTGAACGTCATTTCGCTGGCTATGTTTGTCTCTAAAAAGCCTTGTTCTCTTCAAACCGATCCGTTTATAATGTTGATCTTATACTACCTTACTTACTTATTACAATTAGCTGATCACTGGGATGATATATCCAGGCAATATTTCCGATAAGGTAGGGGTATTTTTTATCGTTACCGTCCTCGGCTAATATTTGAAGCGAGAATCAAGCGCTGGCCGAGGGCCTTCACGTTACATGATATTGATATTACGTTCAGTTAATAGAATAATATTGTTAATTGTTGATTATAGGTTGTTCTCAGTATAATATGTATAACAAAGTAGTTCTCAGTATAATATGTATAACAAAGTAGTTCTCAGTATAATATGTATAACAAAGTAGTTCTCAGTATAATATGTATAACAAAGTAGTTCTCAGTATAATATGTATAACAAAGTAGTTCTCAGTATAATATGTATAACAAAGTAGTTCTCAGTATAATATTTATACAAAAGTAGTTCTCAGTATAATATGTAAACAAAGTAGTTCTCAGTATAATATGTATAACAAAGTAGTTCTCAGTATAATATGTATAACAAAGTAGTTCAGTATAATATGTAGTAGTTCTCAGTATAATATGTATAACAAAGTAGTTCTCAGTATAATATGTATAACAAAGTAGTTCTCAGTATAATATGTATAACAAAGTAGTTCTCAGTATAATATGTATAACAAAGTAAAGTAGTTCTCAGTATAATATGTATAACAAAGTAGTTCTCAGTATAATATGTATAACAAAGTAGTTCTCAGTATAATATGTATAACAAAGTAGTTCTCAGTATAATATGTATAACAAAGTAGTTCTCAGTATAATATGTATAACAAAGTAGTTCTCAGTATAATATGTATAACAAAGTAGTTCTCAGTATAATATGTATAACAAAGTAGTTCTCAGTATAATATGTATAACAAAGTAGTTCTCAGTATAATATGTATAACAAAGTAGTTCTCAGTATAATATGTATAACAAAGTAGTTCTCAGTATAATATGTATAACAAAGTAGTTCTCAGTATAATATGTATAACAAAGTAGTTCTCAGTATAATATGTATAACAAAGTAGTTCTCAGTATAATATGTATAACAAAGTAGTTCTCAGTATAATATGTATAACAAAGTAGTTCTCAGTATAATATGTATAACAAAGTAGTTCTCAGTATAATATGTATAACAAAGTAGTTCTCAGTATAATATGTATAACAAAGTAGTTCTCAGTATAATATGTATAACAAAGTAGTTCTCAGTATAATATGTATAACAAAGTAGTTCTCAGTATAATATGTATAACAAAGTAGTTCTCAGTATAATATGTATAACAAAGTAGTTCTCAGTATAATATGTATAACAAAGTAGTTCTCAGTATAATATGTATAACAAAGTAGTTCTCAGTATAATATGTATAACAAAGTAGTTCTCAGTATAATATGTATAACAAAGTAGTTCTCAGTATAATATGTATAACAAAGTAGTTCTCAGTATAATATGTATAACAAAGTAGTTCTCAGTATAATATGTATAACAAAGTAGTTCTCAGTATAATATGTATAACAAAGTAGTTCTCAGTATAATATGTATAACAAAGTAGTTCTCAGTATAATATGTATAACAAAGTAGTTCTCAGTATAATATGTATAACAAAGTAGTTCTCAGTATAATATGTATAACAAAGTAGTTCTCAGTATAATATGTATAACAAAGTAGTTCTCAGTATAATATGTATAACAAAGTAGTTCTCAGTATAATATGTATAACAAAACAAAGTAGTTCTCAGTATAATATGTATAATGTAAACAAAGTAGTTCTCAGTATAATATGTAAACAAAGTAGTTCTCAGTATAATATGTATAACAAAGTAGTTCTCAGTATAATATGTATAACAAAGTACTCAGTATAATATGTATAACAAAGTAGTTCTCAGTATAATATGTATAACAAAATATGTAGTAATTCTCAGTATAATATGTAAACAAAAGTAGTTCTCAGTATAATATGTATAAAAGTAGTTCTCAGTATAATATGTAAACAAAGTAGTTCTCAGTATGATATGTAAACAAAAGTAGTTCTCAGTATAATATGTAAACAAAAGTAGTTCTCAGTATAATATGTATAACAAAGTAGTTCTCAGTATAATATGTAAACAAAGTATTCTCAGTATAATATGTAAACAAAGTAACAAAGTAGTTCTCAGTATAATATGTAAACAAAGTAGTTCTCAGTATAATATGTATAACAAAGTAGTTATCAGTATAATATGTATAACAAAGTAGTTCTCAGTATAATATGTAAACAAAGTAGTTCTCAGTATAATATGTATAACAAAGTAGTTCTCAGTATAATATGTATAACAAAGTAGTTCTCAGTATAATATGTATAACAAAGTAGTTCTCAGTATAATATGTAAACAAAGTAGTTCTCAGTATAATATGTAAACAAAGTAGTTCTCAGTATAATATGTATAACAAAGTAGTTCTCAGTATAATATCTATACAAAAGTAGTTCTCAGTATAATATGTAAAAAAAAGTAGTTCTCAGTATAATATGTAAAGTAGTTCTAGTATAATATGTATAACAAAGTAGTTCTCAGTATAATATGTAAAACAAAGTAGTTCTCAGTATAATATGTATAACAAAGTAGTTCTCAGTATAATATGTAAACAAAGTAGTTCTCAGTATAATATGTAAACAAAGTAGTTCTCAGTATAATATGTAAACAAAAGTAGTTCTCATATGTAAAAAAAGTAGTTCTAATGTAAAAAAAGTAGTTCTCAGTATAATATGTATAACAAAGTAGTTCTCAGTATAATATGTATAACAAAGTAGTTCTCAGTATAATATGTATAACAAAGTAGTTCTCAGTATAATATGTATAACAAAGTAGTTCTCAGTATAATATGTAAAAAGTAGTTCTCAGTAAATATGTAGTAGTTCTCAGTATAATATGTAAACAAAGTAGTTCTCAGTATAATATGTATAACAAAGTAGTTCTCAGTATAATATGTATAACAAAGTAGTTCTCAGTATAATATGTATAACAAAGTAGTTCTCAGTATAATATGTATAACAAAGTAGTTCTCAATAATATGTAAACAAAGTAGTTCTCAGTATAATATGTAAACAAAAGTAGTTCTCAGTATAATATGTAAACAAATGTAAACAAAGTAGTTCTCAGTATAATATGTAAACAAAGTAGTTAATATGTATAACAAAGTAGTTCTCAGTATAATATGTATAACAAAGTAGTTCTCAGTATAATATGTAAACAAAGTAATTCTCAGTATAATATGTATAACAAAGTAGTTCTCAGTATAATATCTATAACAAAAGTAGTTCTCAGTATAATATGTAAAAAAAAGTAGTTCTCAGTATAATATGTAAACAAAAGTAGTTCTCAGTATGATATGTAAACAAAGTAGTTCTCAGTATAATATGTATAACAAAGTAGTTCTCAGTATAATATGTATAACAAAGTAGTTCTCAGTATAATATGTAAACAAAGTAGTTCTCAGTATAATATGTAAACAAAGTAGTTCTCAGTATAATATGTAAACAAAGTAGTTCTCAGTATAATATGTAAACAAAGTAGTTCTCAGTATAATATGTAAACAAAGTAGTTGTCAGTATAATATGTAAAAAAAGTAATTCTCAGTATAATATGTAAACAAAAGTAGTTCTCAGTATAATATGTATAACAAAGTAGTTCTCAGTATAATATGTAAACAAAGTAGTTCTCAGTATAATATGTAAACAAAGTAGTTCTCAGTATAATATGTAAACAAAGTAGTTCTCAGTATAATATGTAAACAAAGTAGTTCTCAGTATAATATGTATAACAAAGTATAATATGTAAACAAAGTAGTTCTCAGTATAATATGTAAACAAAGTAGTTCTCAGTATAATATGTAGTATAATATGTAAAAAGTAATTCTCAGTATAAAGTAGTTCTCAGTATAATATTTATAACAAAGTAGTTCTCAGTATAATATGTAAACAAAGTAGTTCTCAGTATAATATGTAGTAACAAAGTAGTTCTCAGTATAATATGTAAACAAAGTAGTTCTCAGTATAATATGTATAACAAAGTAGTTCTCAGTATAATATGTATAACAAAGTAGTTCTCAGTATAATATGTAAAAAAAAGTAGTTCTCAGTATAATATGTAAACAAAGTAGTTCTCAGTATAATATGTAAACAAAGTAGTTCTCAGTACAAAGTAGTTCTCAGTATAATATGTATAACAAAAAGTAGTTCTCAGTATAATATGTAAACAAAGTAGTTCTCAGTATAATATGTATAACAAAGTAGTTCTCAGTATAATATGTATAACAAAGTAGTTCTCAGTATAATATGTATAACAAAGTAGTTCTCAGTATAATATGTATAACAAAGTAGTTCTCAGTCAGTATAATATGTATAACAAAGTAGTTCTCAGTATAATATGTATAACAAAGTAGTTCTCAGTATAATATGTATAACAAAGTAGTCCTCAGTATAATATGTATAACAAAGTAGTTATCAGTATAATATGTATAACAAAGTAGTTCTCAGTATAATATGTATAACAAAGTAGTTATCAGTATAATATGTATAACAAAGTAGTTATCAGTATAATATGTATAACAAAGTAGTTCTCAGTATAATATGTATAACAAAGTAGTTCTCAGTATAATATGTATAACAAAGTAGTTATCAGTATAATATGTATAACAAAGTAGTTATCAGTATAATATGTATAACAAAGTAGTTATCAGTATAATATGTATAACAAAGTATTAAGTATAATATGTATAACAAAGTAGTTATCAGTATAATATGTATAACAAAGTAGTTAATCAGTATAATATGTATAACAAAGTAGTTATCAGTATAATATGTATAACAAAGTAGTTATCAGTATAATATGTATAACAAAGTAGTTCTCAGTATAATATGTATAACAAAGTAGTTCTCAGTATAATATGTATAACAAAGTAGTTCTCAGTATAATATGTATAACAAAAGTAGTTCTCAGTATAATATGTAAACAAAGTAGTTCTCAGTATAATATGTAAACAAAGTAATTCTCAGTATAATATGTATAACAAAAGTAGTTCAAAAGTCAGTATAATATGTAAACAAAGTAATTCTCAGTATAATATGTAAACAAAGTAACAAAAGTAGTTCTCAGTATAATATGTAAACAAAAGTAGTTCTCAGTATAATATGTAAACAAAGTAGTTCTCAGTATAATATGTAAACAAAGTAGTTCTCAGTATAATATGTAAACAAAGTAGTTCTCAGTATAATATGTTTAACAAAGTAGTTCTCAGTATAATATGTAAACAAAGTAATTCTCAGTGTAATATGTATAACAAAGTAGTTCTCAGTATAATATTTATACAAAAGTAGTTCTCAGTATAATATGTAAACAAAGTAGTTCTCAGTATAATATGTAAACAAAAGTAGTTCTCAGTATAATATGTTTAACAAAGTAGTCCTCAGTATAATATGTATAACAAAGTAGTTCTCAGTATAATATGTATAACAAAGTAGTTCTCAGTATAATATTTATACAAAAGTAGTTATCAGTATAATATGTAAACAAAAGTAGTTCTTAGTATAATATGTATAACAAAGTAGTCCCCAGTATAATATGTAAACAAAAGTAGTTCTCAGTATAATATGTAAACAAAGTAGTTCTCGGCATAATATGTAAACAAAAGTAGTTCTCAGTATAATATGTAAACAAAAGTAGTTCTCAGTATAATATGTATAACAAAGTAGTCCTCAGTATAATATGTATAACAAAGTAGTTCTCAGTATAATATGTATACACAGTAGTCCTCAGTATAATATCTATACAAAGTAGTCCTCAGTATAATATGTATAACATAAGTAGTTCTCAGTATCGTATGTATAACAAAGTAGGATTTAAGTTGTCTGGTCATGATATACAAGGATTTACTGTGAAGGAAGATTTCTCCAGTCTTTAAATAAATCATATCATATGGTAACAAGAAGGATACAGTTTATCCATGTGTTTGTACACAATATGATTGTTTGATTCTACAGAGGTCCAGGTAGAACGAGAGAAGATTTCCGATCGCGATGAGTACACCTGTATAATAAGTATTACAGATCCTCAGTACAAACCATCCGGAATTACGTCCTTTTCCAATATGGTAAGAGACACTACATATCTATTCACGTTACATTAATATTAAGGCTGTATGACTTTATTAAGGCACAACTAGGTGAAAATTAATGTGTTACGTTTCCAAAACTACATTCCAAAGAGTCACATTTCATGCCAACTTGCTAATCATGTAATAAACTATTAAATCAACACAAAAAACACTGTCATAAAAACACGATAATTAAAAATACAAGTGTTAATGATAATAAAGTTCTGTTTATCTTTTGATCTTAGAGTCAGGTATACTTCTAACTTTTGGAGTCAAACAAGTTTCACTTCATAACTTCAGCTCTTTCAGCTGTTATGCTTGATGAACAAAATTACCCAGCACACGACTAAAATATTGTTCTCTGAAATGAACAAGATATAGATGTAAAGTTGGTTTGCCAATCATTTGAGATCTACCTTTGCTCGCGGCACACTGGATTACCACCAGCTGCCACATGTGGTGACTTCATAGCGACTTCCTGGACTTCGATGTCCTCGGTTTTGTTCTCTTATAGTTTGATTATCATTTTCCCTTCCATGGTTTCATTGTGACATTGTGTTGACATTGTGCTTTTTGCTTTCTGTTGAATTTAATGATAATCTCTTGATATTTACAGTCTACTCTAACGGTCAACATCAAGATGGACAGAACAACATCATCACCTCCTTCAGAGGTCTATACAGCGACCGTTGTGGAAGGCGCTGCACGTCTTACACGAGTAAGTTACACGTGTGTATTTACGATGTAGTAATGGCTGCAACACCATCAGTATATAGATGATAGGTAATCTGTGTAAGTTAAACTTTACGGTTATCACGAGATTCTTGTGTTCCAGATCCATACATTAGGAAACACACACAGGAGTTATTTCTCCAACAGTCTAGCCTCAGCTTTCGGAGTAACCCGTTATGAAGGAATCGTTTACGTAGATAAACCCGCACTTTTAGAAGGCAGTAGACAGCAGAATTTCACCGTGTCAGCATACGCCTCGGATGCTAAAGGAGAACAGAAAATTGTCCTCACAGTGAAAATACTGAGAAACTCCAGGAGGAAACCTCCCTGCAGTAAGTATCATACATAATGTATTGCACTTGAAATGACTGGACATCATCCCCATTATAATCAGATGTCTAAATTGCACCACGTGTAATGTCGGACTAAACAGTTATTGTAGGAGAGCTCGGTTGACTTATCTACCCGTCTGTCTCAGGTACTTCCATACTTAAACGACTTCAGCGTAGTATAGAAACGCTTGATTGACGCGTTGAAGCCCGCAAAAACCTCCTTTTTTGACATGTGAAAAGACCTGAAATCCGGCGTTGTACAATGTGTCGCCAACAGAAAATGTTACACAGGTCATGATATTGGGGACAAGTCTTTGAACATCTATTCAGAGATCTGTTAACGACATAGCTTTGGAATACGGGTTTTGTAATATCTAGAAAATAACATCACAGTACGTACTACTGAATCTCCACGATCGTCATGTAGCTTAGTGGTTCAGCATCTTTCTTGTACGCGGTCTAGAAAAGGTTTCGTTTAAAGTAGATCAGATGTCATTTTATATACTTAACTTCGTGAAATTTCTCACGAAAAGGAATTTCAGTAATGAGGAAAATACTTACGAAACCATGAGTCTATTTTTAACTTTGAAGGAGGACATTTTATTTTGATATTTACTAATATAGGAATTCCAATTGTAACTATGCAGGTTGGTTAACGTGTTTATTTCTATACTATAACCAGATGAGTCGTGTTCCCGCCATGATGGACGAGATGGGTGTCAATCGTCTTGTGGACTCGGACTATTGGTGGGGACATGTGTTTGGCGCATGGGCGAGAAGGGCGGCTGGACCACCAAGTACGGCACGTGCACGTATGACAAGGCTTTGTGCCCCGATACAAAATGTGATGAGCTGGAAAGTCAGAATCCACAATTGTGTCCTCAAGATTGTACAAGTATGTAATCAATAAGATATCAAACCAAAGATATTAAATATACTCTGGCCACGCATCGCATAACCGAAAACATATGCTTTTATTGTCACGTGTTTTGTTTGAAATAGAACATGAAGTATGTTCCAGTTATATTTCCATGACGTTGGACCAGCATCTAGGAGGGGCTGATACTTATCCCGAGTAATAATTGCCTCACAGCTTTCTTCAATCTTGTTTTAAGCACACGTAACACCAATCACCACTAATGATAATGTTTGTGTAATCCCGTGTTCTTAACTCTCTCCGTACATCTACCGTCGCTGATGTATCGTTACAGTACCCTTCTTACCTAATTAAGTGGTTAAAATCAAGTCCAATAGATTTAAAACATATCGATTCTAGACTTAAATGTATCGCCGCATGGAAATTTACGACTTGTCTTTCTTAAGCAATAAATAACTATTATAAAATATCTTAAAACTGAATGATTTAAGTGGAAGTCCTTCCGAGGCCTTAAAGAGGCCAAATGGAGAATTATGTAGCAAGCAATTGAGACGCCTCTATCAACGGTTAAGCACTATTTTATCACACAGAGTGCTAAGTACTACAGACAGTGTCGGCTCCCTTTCCTATCTGATTTATACAAGAAATCCACTTCTGAGACTATCATCAAGAACATAAATGACATTCAGAGACAATTCGTTTGTGATCAAATGTAATTATTTCCTGGATATTTTCATTTCACGTATAAGAGGGCAAATGTTGTTTGTTTTAGGTAAGGAGAAGGTTGTTACCAAATCCTCTTGATAATATCGGAATTGTTTTGATATTGCTCTAATGTTGAATTTTGAATAAAATATTATTTGAACTAAATGTTCTTTCTTGACTGAAACACTTACATAACTCATTTGAGATTTAGAGTATTTTATACTATACGTCATTAATTGGACGAAGTAAGCATACTTTATATAATTCAAATATAATGTACATAGCTTGTATTAATAAGGCATATTTTGTATAACAATGTATATCACTTTTATTTTACGACATCCATTTTGCATGATATTGATGAAGTTACCTATTTTGTATTTGTAATAATTCTTTATATTACTAATTTTACGACATCCATTTTGTATTCGTGAGCTTCGTTAGCAGTAGGGAAAAGCAAACACTATGGCGTCATTCACATCAAAATTGAAAATATCATCGTAGCAAATAGAAAGCATGATTCCCTTTGGTCACTATAAGTTTGTAGATTTATTAAGTAGCATTTAGGTATGATACTGTTATCGCTGATAGTGTGAGGTAGATTTATGATACATATTTTTATGAAGTACTGGTACTTCACTAATTTATCAAAAAAAATGATTTACGTTAAAGCTGCCTTGTATCAAGTTATACATCTCATATTTGACAAAAGTCAACATATTTTGTTAAAGAAATCAGTTGACTTTTATGCACTTCCGCTTCAATAGGTCATTATTTCTAGCGACAAACCTTATTTTTCATTCCTTATCTCCCCCTCAAGATTGCGACACGCTTGGACCCTCGCGATACTGACGTATCCTTCAACGGTGAACCACAATGCCGTTCATTCAATATCATATATATGTTGTTTATATTTGTAAATGCTTGTAATGCTGTAGATAATGTATCAAACTTATTTTGACGATACCTATTTATCTGTCAGATAAAACCGTAGGAACTGTCAAACTGAACACCAATGTTAATCCACCTCGAGGGATAGCTGAGGCTGTTGGTAACTGTTTCTGCTCATACACTGGCGAATGTGCTTGTGCTACGGAGGATCTCAGTCCAAGAATTACACCCAAACCTCGCGAGAGTACACTGATCAAAACACCTCAACTAGACAACTCTGGACACGCGGACAATACAACCGACCGAGACCATCACGTGACCAATGGACAGCTTTATTATCGACCTAAAGGTAATACATTACAAGTTCATCTACGTTATGATTATACACAAATGATTCCGTTCTACCACCGGTTTCCCGTTAGTTCTAGATCAACCAGATGGGAGTATATCAGGCTATGAACTCCCACTATGATTTACAGTGATTCGGTCGGTGATCGAATTGATAAAACTCGAGACGTCTCCTTGTTAAACAAAACTGGTCGCTGGTCACTTTCACTTCAGTATAGTATCAATATACAGTGTTGACATATTGAGATATCCTGGCAAAGTTGTTGGACTTACTTAAGTAAGATCTTCATAAAAAAAATCTCTACAAAGCTATCAAGTTATTGCAGTTACAAATTTATTGTCAAACATGTAATTTTGCCACAAAATTATTTATTTTTGCCATAACATACATCATTACCAAGTTTGTCAAGTTCCTCTGCTACTGTAGGTGTCGATCTGACAGTCCAAATTACAAATGTAGAATCCGTTACAAACAAAATGTCGTTACTTACTGACAGGATCGACTTCCATTTATAATTTCCGTGGTCATTCATTCTGTTCTGATAATCACATCAATACACTCCTCGACACGAAAAGTAAATAATTCCCGAAGAAACACTAGACACCTTGTTTCGCGAAATCTGACGGAGAGACGCATCAATCTGTAATAAAACATCAATGAGCAATTTTATTTCGATCGAACGGAAAAATACATTATGAAATGATATGATTATTTCTAAAAGCGTGAGCGTTTACACATTAAAATCAATAATCAAGTTATTCTTTGTTAATGATGGCGCTCTGTATATACCATCTGTTAACACTTTATTGTTTAGATATCGCCACCAATGACAAAGGTTACACTGTAATATTGTACCATAACAAGATATTAAAAGTTAACTAAAACACTCATAGAGACCTCCTAGAAAGAATAATGGCTTGTTGTTGGACTTCTGTACACCTTGTCTTGTTGTTGGACTTCTATACACTTTGGCTTGTTGTTGGACTTCTGTACACTTTGGCTTGTTGTTGGACTTCTGTACACCTTGTCTTGTTGTTGGACTTCTGTACACCTTGGCTTGTTGTTGGACTTCAGTACACCTTGGCTTGTTGTTGGACTTCTGTACACTTTGGCTTGTTGGATTTCTGTACACCTTGTCTTGTTGGACTTCTGTACACCTTGTCTTGTTGTTGGACTTCTGTACACCTTGTCTTGTTGTTGGACTTCTGTAGACCTTGGCTTGTTGTTGGACTTCTGTACACCTTGGCTTGTTGTTGGACTTCTGTACACCTTGGCTTGTTATTGGACCTCTGTACACCTTGTCTTGTAGTTGGACTTCTGTACACCTTGTCTTGTTGTTGGACTTCTGTACACCTTGGCTTGTTGTTGGACTTCTGTACACCTTGGCTTGTTGTTGGACTTCTGTAGACCTTGGCTTGTTGGACTTCTGTACACCTTGGCTTGTTGTTGGACTTCTGTACACCTTGGCTTGTTGTTGGATTTCTGTACACCTTGTCTTGTTGGACTTCTGTACACCTTGTCTTGTTGTTGGACTTCTGTACACCTTGTCTTGTTGTTGGACTTCTGTAGACTTTGGCTTGTTGTTGGACTTCTGTACACCTTGGCTTGTTGTTGGACTTCTGTACACCTTGGCTTGTTGTTGGACCTCTGTACACCTTGTCTTGTAGTTGGACTTCTGTACACCTTGTCTTGTTGTTGGACTTCTGTACACCTTGGCTTGTTGTTGGACTTCTGTAGACCTTGGCTTGTTGTTGGACTTCTGTACACCTTGGCTTGTTGTTGGACTTCTGTACACCTTGGCTTGTTGTTGGACTTCTGTACACCTTGGCTTGTTGGACTTCTGTACACCTTGGCTTGTTGTTGGACTTCTGTACACCTTGGCTTGTTATTGGACTTCTGTACACCTTGGCTTGTTGTTGGACTTCTGTACATCTTGGGTTGTTGTTGGACTTCTGTAGACCTTGGCTTGTTGTTGGACATCTGTACACCTTGTCTTGTTGTTGGACGTCTGTACACCTTGTCTTGTTGTTAGACTTCTGTACACCTTGGCTTGTTGTTGGACTCCTGTACACATTGGCTTGTTGTTGGACTTCTGTACACCTTGGCTTGTTGTTGGACGTCTGTACACCTTGGCTTGTTGTTGGACTTTTGTAGACCTTGGCTTGTTATTGGACCTCTGTACACCTTGTCTTGTTATTGGACTTCTGTAGACCTTGGCTTGTTGTTGGTCTTCTGTAGACCTTGGCTTGTTGTTGGAATTCTGTATATCTTGGCTTGTTGATTGATTCTGTAGACCTTGGCTGATGTTACGTCAATGGATGCGAGATGACTTTGAAGGACGATGCTTATCTTACCTTTGTCCGTAACACTGCTAGTAAATATATCTTTTGTCTTTACACAGACGATGGAAGTGAGACATCAAATGGGGGATGCGATGAGAACTGTAGAACCACCACGGCCGCTACTCTGGGTTGTCTTGGTGCTGTCACTTGCATCTTTGTTCTGGTTTGGCGTCTTCGAAAACGCAGATGTCAGACTAGCCAGAACATTAAAAAGCGCGTGGGTAGTCTGGTATCAGTGTCGGCTATTCCATCAGATTACCAGGATGATCGTGACAGAACTTACCACACCGCACCCCAATCCAACCACAAGGGACCTTTGGAATATACACCCGTAAGAAAGCCAGCAAGCTTGACAAATATAAGCAAATGTTTAATCTATATTTTCAAAGTAGGTCAAAACTTGGCAACAAAAGCAATATCCTAGTCTGTCTATGCTAATAATAATTTGGTAAATCAAAATTATTTGGTTTGTCTATACTAGAATATAATGTATGTTGCTATTTAATAACTTTTGCCATATAATGTATGATATTGGCATGCAATCCTTCAGCTAGTATTTTTTCCTGACAAATATTATTTTAATGAAAATCATTGGGGAAATTTGACGGTCGTCATAGTGATCTCATTGTGAAATATTATATTTATTTGATCGATTAGAAGCTGGATGTGTTAGATGCTAGTGACATTTCTTAGTTTGATCAACCAAGATTTACATGGCGGGCTGTTCTTCCGGAACATCTGGTCTTATTATCCTTGTACTTTTTCAACAGTCTCCTTGTAGATGTTTCTTCTGTTCATGTGTCGCCCTAGTGGATGTTGGATTATGATTATATTCACCCGTTGATATTTCCATGTTTATGTGGAATAAAATGGGCATTTTATATACTTTAAGCCGTGAAATAAACACATCAATCAAAAGCCCCTTTCCATTCAGTTTAAGAATAAGATACATTAGACGACTGATATTAAGGCTGGAGCATATTGAGTTAACGTACAATGAACGTTCGTTATCTACTTCTACAGACACCAGAAGATATGAAGTGGGAGTTTGAACGAGACAAGCTTATCCTTGATAAGACCCTTGGTGAGGGAGAGTTTGGGAGAGTGGTAAAGGCCAAATCATACAATTTGGACGGAAAGGACGGCTATAAAGAAGTTGCTGTCAAGATGCTCAAACGTACGTCATACTTCAAATTTAGTGTTAATGACGAATCTTGTATTAAGCTTGATATCGAGAGCACTCAACTTTACCGACCTATATATAACTTTTGTTCTGTTATTGTAAATTGACTGTAACGCTACAGAAACGTACCCTCAGATGGGTAAAATTTGTGATTGTATCGACCGGAACGGCTCTACAGGACGACGACTTGTCAACACAATTAATGTAAAGTATTACAGTTTTGTTAATTGTGTCCTGTGTCTTTTATTTCAGATTGTGCATCCTCTTCGGAACTCTCTGATCTGCTGTCAGAATTCAACCTTTTAAAGGATGTTAATCACCCGAACGTTATACGCCTGCTAGGGGCGTGTACAAGAGACGGTGAGTTTTCTGTGTAGCACTGAAATATGAAAATGAATTTTTGTTGTAATTTGGGAAGTTTGAGTACCGCGCAGGTATTTATTGTCCCTAGCTGTAAAATGTTAAGTATTGACTCAGATAGAATGTATCTAACACAGTCGATGAATAACAATGTGTTGGTGACGTATTCAGTATTCTTTAACTTACGCCATGTTCCCAGGTCCGTTCTACGTCATCGTGGAGTACTGCGAGTACGGCTCCCTACTTTCCTTTCTGAGGCGATCACGGTTGGAGGAAAATGGTTATGTCAACCATCGTTACCGACACAAGGAGTTCACTCAGCACTGTGAGAATGGCGAGTACATGGAGCCTGAGCTGCTCTCTGTTGGTGATCTGTTGTCATTTGCCTGGCAGATAGCTAAAGGAATGAAGTACCTCAGTGAGATCAAGGTGAGGACCAGTTGTCCAATCCTTTTAAAGATTAAATGAAAACATGGCTAATTTGAGGCAGTCTGTGTCTTTATCTAAAAACAATATCCAATTAGACATAATAAAGACGAAGGACAATGTACGATGAAAAAATAGAATATAACCAGAGCTAAATGTTCGGGTATTTCCACACCTTTCCCAAGTTCTTTAAACAAACCAATAATTATTTCACCTCTCTCTCTCTCTCTCTCTCTCTCTCTCTCTCTCTCTCTCTCTCTCAAGCTTATACAATTATTCAGTCAATGTTTTATGCCATCTGCAACTGTAATCAACTCCTTTGTAACCTTCCATGTCTTCAGCATTCTGTACAACATATCACGTTTATTGAAAAGTTGTCCCTCGGCATTTCTGCGAGAATATCAAATATGACAACATACTGAATCAATTATTGTTTGTTTTTAGCTGGTGCATAGAGATCTAGCTGCAAGAAACGTGTTAGTTGCAGCCGGCAAGGTTTTGAAAATATCCGACTTCGGGCTGACAAGAGATGTTTACGAAGCCGATACATATCTCAAACAAAGCAAGGTAACATTGACACGTGTTACATTCAATGCAGCCTTGGTTTACTTGCTGTGAAAAGAAACAGCCTTCCTAACTCCGTCAGCGATCTATTCGTGAAGTCAATCGATGAGACGAAATTAAACCTGGAAGCATACTTTATCACTAATTTCGTTCTCAAATAACTTTGTGGAAGTATTCTAATGTATTTTACAAGTATGGTAAATATGTATTCTTACATATGATACAGAGCTTAGTATAGGAACTTATAATTCTATTTGTGACTTGAATGTTATTGGTAGTGACTGTTATTGACTGTGAAACGACTGACTTGTCATTATCCATTTAATTCGTCTTCGGGTGTTGTCGTTGAAGCAGAGCACGTACTTTTTAACAGTCCACGTTTTTGCTTCATTCATAATTTGTCCATGTTTCATCGACTTTGATTTTGATTTAGGTTTACGTTTACTTGTCGGTACATCCTAATTGATAAGCTACTTATAATTTACAAAGATGCCAGAAATAAAAACAGCTCCATGTAATTAACTACATAGAGTCAGTCCTGGTATAATACTGGTTATGGTATTGCTAAATAACAACGTTATGATTTGTTCAGTATAGTTTAACTACGGAGTTATATGATGTCTGGACTATCCCGAAGTCTTCTTCTCAGTGAATTAACTCGACTTATATGACGGATGTCTTATTTACAAAGATATTGAGTATTTTATTATCATACATCTGAAGTTGTAATCTCGTATAGTTACCCTGTTTTATTGGATATCACAAAAGTCATCATGTAGTTACCTTTAGTTTAGAAACAGTTCATGACTGAATGAAAAAAAAAATGTTTTACATATTCTCAGCACCTTTCCAAATATAGTCTACGTTACATTAAAAATAACACTTATTGTTACGTCATTATTTTCTGTGCTTGGAAAAAGCTCAAGAAAATCAAGACTGTTGAAGAAGGATAATCCTATTATTCTATACAATGTTTTTACTTGTGTCATGAAAACACAGCGTGTATTTCCCGTGTTGTGATATTTAGAAGCTGTGATTTATGTACTTGTATGCTAATTGTAGGGTCGAATACCAGTCAAATGGTTAGCGCCAGAATCCTTGTACGCACAGATCTATACAACCCAGAGTGATGTGTGAGTATCGATGTTTGTGAAAACTGTTCTCCTTACACCAGTAAAAGCGTGTACCTTTTGTGTAGCATAGCGATACGTCAGTGGTTATCTGTATCAAAGATAAAACGTCGTTTTTAAAATGTAAGAACTTCATATATGCAGAATACCTTTAAATGTGCTATTTTTTAGGGATCTTGTCTTCGATATTTCAAACAATGGAATAAAATTGCGACCTTGGAAACGAAATAGACAGAAACAAATTCCTTTTCATGTCTTTCCTAACACAAGATACTCAATCCTTGGTAAAACACCCAAAAATGAAGGAACTACCGTCACAGTATGGGGAAATACCTTTTTGAGAACGAGTAACATTTAGTTACATGGAAATGATCATTATTAATTTAAAATATAAATTGACAGTAACATGTAAAGTATTATTTGTAGTATATTAGAGAACCATTAGACTTTCCAGAAAAAAGACAACATTGTATTTATACGACTTTCTCTCTTCAGGTGGTCCTTTGGAATTGTCCTGTGGGAAATCGTCACCCTAGGTAAGTTACTACCTATCATAACATAACCGTCAGTCTGGGTAAGTCACTACCTACCATAACATAACCGTTATCCTGGGTAAGTCACTACTTACCATAACATAACCGTCACCCTAGGTAAGTCACTACCTACCATAACATAACCGTAAGTCTGGGTAAGTCACTACCATAACATAACCGTCACCCTAGGTAAGTCACTACCTACCATAACATAACCGTCACCCTAGGTAAGTCACTACCATAACATAACCGTCACCCTAGGTAAGTCACTACCTACCATAACACAACAGTCACCCTAGGTAAGTCACTACCTACCATAACATAAACGTCACCCTAGGTATGTCACTACCATAACATAACTGTCACCCTAGGTAAGTCACTACCTACCATAACATAACCGTCACCCTAGGTAAGTCACTACCTACCATAACATAACCGTCAGCCTAGGTAAGTCACTACCTACCATAACATAACCGTCAGCCTAGGTAAGTCACTACCTACCATAACATAACCGTCACCCTAGGTAAGTCACTACCTACCATAACATAACCGTTACCCTGGGTAAGTCACTACCTACCATAACATAACCGTTATCCTGGGTAAGTCACTACCTACCATAACATAACCGTCACCCTAGGTAAGTCACTACCTACCATAACATAACCGTTATCCTGGGTAAGTCACTACCTACCATAACATAACCGTTATCCTGGGTAAGTCACTACCTACCGTAACATAACCGTTATCCTGGGTATGTCACTACCTACCGTAACATAACCGTCACCCTAGGTAAGTCACTACCTACCATAACATAACCGTTATCCTGGGTAAGTCACTACCTACCATAACATAACCGTTATCCTGGGTAAGTCACTACCTACCATAACATAACCGTTATCCTGGGTAAGTCACTACCTACCATAACATTACAATCACCCTAGGTATGTCACTACCTACCATTACATAACCGTCACCCTGGGTAAGTCACTACTTACCATAACATAACAGTCACCCTAGGTAAGTCACTACCTACCATAACATAACCGTCACCCTAGCTATGTCACTACCATAACATAACTGTCACCCTAGGTAAGTCACTACCTACCATAACATAACCGTAAGTCTGGGTAAGTCACTACCTACCGTAACATAACCGTTATCCTGGGTAAGTCACTACCTACCATAACATTACAATCACCCTAGGTATGTCACTACCATAACATAACTGTCACCCTAGGTAAGTCACTACCTACCATAACATAACCGTCACCCTAGGTAAGTTACTACCATAACATAACCGTCACCCTAGGTAAGTTACTACCTACCATAACATAACCGTCACCTTAGGTTAGTTACTACCTACCATAACATAACCGTCACCCTAGGTAAGTTACTACCTACCATAACATAACCGTCACCCTAGGTAAGTCACTACATACCATAACATAACCGTTATCCTGGGTAAGTCACTACCTACCATAACATTACAATCACCCTAGGTAAGTCACTACCTACCATAACATAACCGTCACCCTAGCTATGTCACTACCTACCATAGCATAACCGTTATCCTGGGTAAGTCACTACCTACCATAACATTACAATCACCCTAGGTAAGTCACTACCTACCATAACATAACCGTCACCCTAGGTAAGTCACTACCTACCATAGCATAACCGTTATCCTGGGTAAGTCACTACCTACCATAACATAACCGTAAGTCTGGGTAAGTCACTACCTACCATAACATAACCGTTATCCTGGGTAAGTCACTACCTACCATAACATTACAATCACCCTAGGTAAGTCACTACCTACCATAGCATAACCGTTATCCTGGGTAAGTCACTACCTACCATAACATTACAATCACCCTAGGTAAGTCACTACCTACCGTAACATAACCGTTATCCTGGGTAAGTCACTACCTACCGTAACATAACCGTTATCCTGGGTAAGTCACTACCTACCATAACATAACCGTCACCTTAGGTTAGTTACTACCTACCATAACATAACCGTCACCCTAGGTAAGTCACTACCTACCGTAACATAACCGTTATCCTGGGTAAGTCACTACCTACCATAACATAACCGTCACCCTAGGTAAGTCACTACCTACCATAGCATAACCGTTATCCTGGGTAAGTCACTACCTACCATAACATTACAATCACCCTAGGTAAGTCACTACCTACCGTAACATAACCGTCACCCTAGGTAAGTCACTACCTACCATAACATAACCGTAAGTCTGGGTAAGTCACTACCTACCATAACATAACCGTTATCCTGGGTAAGTCACTACCTACCATAACATTACAATCACCCTAGGTAAGTCACTACCTACCATAACATAACCGTTATCCTGGGTAAGTCACTACCTACCATAACATTAACAATTATCCTGGGTAAGTCACTACCTACCATAACATAACCGTTATCCTGGGTAAGTCACTACCTACCATAACATAACCGTCACCCTAGGTAAGTCACTACCTACCATAACATAACCGTCACCTTAGGTTAGTTACTACCTACCATAACATAACCGTCACCCTAGGTAAGTTACTACCTACCATAACATTACAATCACCCTAGGTAAGTCACTACCTACCATAACATTACAATCACCCTAGGTAAGTCACTACCTACCATAACATAACCGTCACCCTAGGTAAGTCACTACCTACCATAACATAACCGTCACCCTAGCTATGTCACTACCATAACATAACTGTCACCCTAGGTAAGTCACTACCTACCATAACATAACCGTCACCCTAGGTAAGTTACTACCATAACATAACCGTCACCCTAGGTAAGTTACTACCTACCATAACATAACCGTCACCTTAAGTTAGTTACTACCTACCATAACATAACCGTCACCCTAGGTAAGTCACTACCTACCATAACATAACCGTCACCCTAGGTAAGTCACTACATACCATAACATAACCGTCACCCTAGGTAAGTCACTACCTACCATAGCATAACCGTTATCTTGGGTAAGTCACTACCTACCATAACATTACAATCACCCTAGGTAAGTCACTACCTACCGTAACATAACCGTTATCCTGGGTAAGTCACTACCTACCATAACATTACAATCACCCTAGGTAAGTCACTACCTACCGTAACATAACCGTTATCCTGGGTAAGTCACTACCTACCATAACATAACCGTTATCCTGGGTAAGTCACTACCTACCATAACAAAACCGTCACCCTAGGTAAGTCACTACCTACCATAACATAACCGTCACCCTAGGTAAGTCACTACCTACCATAACATAACCGTTATCCTGGGTAAGTTACTACCTACCATAACATTACAATCACCCTAGGTAAGTCACTACCTACCATAACATAACCGTTATCCTGGGTAAGTCACTACCTACCATAACATTACAATCACCCTAGGTAAGTCACTACCTACCATAACATAACCGTCACCCTAGGTAAGTCACTACCTACCATAACATAACCGTCACCCTAGGTAAGTCACTACCTACCATAACCTAACCGTCACCCTAGGTAAGTCATTACCTACCATAACATAACCGTCACCCTGGGTAAGTCACTACTTACCATAACATAACAGTCACCCTAGGTAAGTCACTACCTACCATAACATTACAATCACCCTAGGTAAGTCACTACCTACCATAACATAACCGTTATCCTGGGTAAGTCACTACCTACCATAACATAACCGTTATCCTGGGTAAGTCACTACCATAACATAACCGTCACCCTAGGTATGTCACTACCTACCATAACATAACTGTCACCCTAGGTATGTCACTACCTACCATAACATAACTGTCACCCTAGGTATGTCACTACCATAACATAACCGTCACCCTAGGTAAGTCATTACATACCATAACATAACCGTCACCCTAGGTAAGTCACTACCATAACATAACCGTTATCCTGGGTAAGTCACTACCTACCATAACATAACTGTCACCCTAGGTATGTCACTACCATAACATAACCGTCACCCTAGGTAAGTCACTACCATAACATAACAGTCACCCTAGGTAAGTCACTACCTACCATAACATAACCGTCACCCTAGGTATGTCACTACCATAACATAACTGTCACCCTAGGTAAGTCATTACATACCATAACATAATCGTCACCCTAGGTAAGTCACTATTTACCATAACATAAACGTCACCCTAGGTAAGTCACTACCATAACATAACCGTCACCCTAGGTAAGTCACTACCTACTATAACATAACCGTCACCTTAGGTAAGTTACTACCATAACATAACCGTCCCCCTAGGTATGTCACTACCTACCATAACATAACCGTTATCCTAGGTAAGTCACTTCCTAACATAGCATAACCGTTATCCTGGGTAAGTCACTACCTAACATTACATAACCGTCACCCTGTGTAACTCAATACATAACTTAACATAATATGGTCATTTCACAGAAGACAAAATTACTACATTAATGTTCTCTTTAATTCTTAGGTGCCCCGCCCTATCCGGGTATACCCCCGGAGCGTCTCTATAACCTGTTGATCGCTGGCTACAGGATGGATAGACCAGAGTCTTGCACTGATGAGCTGTAAGCCATTTTTGGGTTTTATTACTGGTCAAGTATAGTCGGCTCGTGCGCGCACTTCTAGATAATATATAGAACGATTCTCAAACCTCTCTTAAAAATCATGTTTTATTGACATACATGTAGCAATGTGTAGTTCTAGAGTTGACATGGAGTAAATATCGTGTTTTATTGACATACATGTAGCAATGTGTAGTTCTAGAGTTGACATGGAGTAAATATCGTGTTTTATTGATATACATGTAGCAACGGGTATTTTTAGTGTTGACATGGGTTTTACATGCATAGAGCCACCAGAATTGTTTTTTTTATTGAGAATCACACGTTTAACTCCTACTGACAAATAATTAAGAGGAGAGAGGGCAAGTGCCCGCGTATTACGGGAAATCACCTGTTGCCAATACTTTGTAAATACGAATTTTACTCGTTCATCAAAACTTTCACAATAAATATTAAAATGCTGAAGATACTTGGACGATGACCCATGGCAATACAGTACTGAGTAATAATTGATATACAAGAGACGTTGAACTATGCTTTTTGCCATCTTTAAAATGCCTCGGGCGTGCACGATACCATAATGATAACGAAATCCCGTCTACAGTTCAGACTAACGTTGTAATTGGTGGACATTAACGTCCTTATAATAAGATAATTATATTCCGCTATTTTAACGTTCCGCAAACATTACACCCGCACTTTTACTATTGATCATGTCTGATAACATCGGTGTATTTATAGAAGGGCTACCTAGATGTTTTTTCCCACTCTAATGAGAATACATATCTCTTCGTTACAGATATGCTGTTATGCAAAAATGTTGGAAGACGGACCCCTCTGAGAGACCACCATTTATCCAGCTGACTGACATCTTTGATCGATTACTTCAACAGAGAACTGTACGTCATGGGAACACATCACATGGGGGCTTTTATTGTGTTCTCCAGATATTCCGAAGTGTTTCCTAGAATTGTGAAAAGATAAACAGCACAAAAAGAAAACGTTGATACAAAATGCATGCACTGTCAGTGTGTGAAAGTATTTCGACTGTTATTAGTGCTAACCAATCCATCCTATAGAAGAACCATGTAATTTGATAGAACCAAAATACTGATAGTTACATGTTTTACTGTCTCTGAGTATTTCTGTGTGTGTGAGAGAACAACCTTAAAATATCATCTGCTTTCAGGAATACCTAGATTTGACGGGCGGAGTAGCGGACGACACGACACCGGACGTGTATGACAAGTGTTTCGGAAACGCTTTAGGTACGTAGGTCTTCAAATATTCCCATCATTGTTTATCGTTAATAATTAATTCTTAATAACTGATGTAAATTAACGAGTGAGGGAAAAAGGCCATTTCGAAGTGCAAATTTCATAATTTTGCCGTATTCAATTTTACAATGGTGTTTTGTTTTAAATGTCAGTTAGAACCTCTGTCGAAAGTGTGCTATCTGGGTTCCAAAGGTGTAAAGGTAAAAACCATGAACTTGTATTTGCGATGTTTAAAAGTGTCAGAATTTGCTCAATATTATTTCATGATGAATCAATTTTTGAAAACAGACTTCAAGATATTTTGTGTATACCATATGGAAAAATGATGAATTATTTAACAACGCCTCATTTATCAAGACACATCATTGACCTAACATCCAGCAATGATCACGGAATCACGTGATAAAGACACGATCCTGCGAGTACCTCTTCATACTAAACAAAATAGGTTCAAAGGAGATGATTCATCAAGTTATCATATTGTGAAAATAATGCTTGTCAATAGATTATTTCTGTCAAATGTTCCATTCTGTCCAAGTTCGTCAGCAAACATCATTCTACAACAACAGGGGATGTTGTTTAACCCTTAAGGAATCAATTAATTGCTACAACTGTTGTATAAATACCACATGTTGAATTAATTGTCAAAGCGGTTTGGTAGACTGAAACATGAATTTTCGCTTTGAAGGTAATACACTCTTTCTTATTATGTGTATTGATTTCTCAATGACTGGTCATATCACTATGCTCTGATATTGTTAACAGAACACATCTGGGAAGATAAATTCATGGTTGGAATAACTTTTTATTAGGGCCCAAACAGGTCGTACAGACTCGTGGTTATTGTGTATAGTATTTCTTTCACTCTAGCAAGTTATTTTTGAAACGTTTCAATACGAAAAACCACCCGCTTAATATCATGTTTGTAACTTCTGAAAAACAACTTCCGCAAGAGAAAGAAATATAATATATACCAAACCGCTTATTGTAGAAATGAAACTATTAATTGAGTTCGCTTTTACGTTATTATTTGATATTTTAGTATATCGTCTTCAATACAGTTTTGATGATATAATTTCAGGAAAGGTATTCCCCAAACAGAGTCCGCCACGCTCGACCGAGACTTACGGAAGCATCAGCGTCATTTCCGGTAACTCGGAACCTTATTTGACTCCCTCCACAAGTAAATCACCAGTCGATGCATCCAACAGTATAACAGCATCAAATATGGACAATAGAAGAGTCATCCTTCATTCAAATGATGAAACACTGTTACCTTCCCGGAAGTGCCTCGATTTAAAAACTCCTGGAGGGGAGAAACTTGCTCTTTTGTTGGATTCTGGTACTGCCATGTTTTCTCCGTCCTCCGATACAGACGATGATCCAGACAGTAGGGAAACGGATGTGTTATCTGTAAAGAGATGCTGAGTGGACGTTTCAATGCAGTCTTCTGTGTAAAGTCACGTCGTATAAACTGTAGTCTACTCACAACCACTGAACTTTTGATATACACGCTATGAACAGCGTCCATGCAAGAAAATGTTCCATAATCAACTGCTTCCCGAAGAGAAGAAAGTCCGATCCGTTATATTTCCACTGACTAAGCCAAATATCACCTTGTGACGTGACTTCAGATTACAATATAACATAAGCGGATGACTCTCACGCCGACATGAGAGCAAACATGTCGGCTTTCGTTTCATTATTTCTGTGATGCATTACATTTGCTACTTAACAATAACTCTACAGCATTGACACACTGTGTGGTATATTATTTGAAGTGACTGTGTTTAAATAGCAATTTCCGTGAAAGTGTATACCCGCGGTAGAACCATGACAATTTAGCTACCATTGTACACAGCAGGGAGAGTTATGTGGCTGTGTAACTGGGACAACCTTGTTTGGTTTAACAGTGGTTAGATATAATAACATGTCCTGTGTATTTTCTGTGTTCTTGCATCTTACCTTGAGATAATGATGTAACAGGAAAGATGTGACTGAGAAGGCAGTAAATAAACTACTGCAGTACAGTGGTCCTCAGTTAGTAAGGACATTCATTTATATATTGTTGAACATTAAAGGTTCCATTTAATATTATTCATGAATATAGAAATATGTACTTCTCTCCTCACCATTCACTACTAGTACCTACTACATCCATCACCTTTCATACTAACACCTCCATCGCCTTTCTCCTTGACCACCTTCAACGCCTTTCTCCTTGACGACCCGTACTAACCACCTTCATTGCCTGTCTCCTTGACCACTCGTAATAACCCCTTCATCGCCTATCTCCTTGACCACTCGTACTAACCACCTTCATCGCCTATCTCCTTGACCACTCGTACTAACCACCTTCATCGCCTATCTCTTTGACCACTCGTACTTAACATCTTCATCGCCCTTCTTCCTTTGACGGTTCGCACCTACCACCTTCATCGTCTTTCTTGTCTTGACGGTTCGCACCTACCGCCTTCGCCTTTCTTGTCCTGACGGTTTGTACCTACCACCTTCATCGTCTTTCTTGTCTTGACGGTTCGTACCTACCACCTTCGCCTTTCTTGTCCTGACGGCTCGTACCTACCGCCTTCATCGTCTTTCTCGTCTTGACGGTTCGTACCTACCACCTTCGCCTTTCTTGTCCTGACGGCTCGTACCTACCACCTTCATCGTCTTTCTCGTCCTGACGGTTCGTACCTACCACCTTCACCGTCTTTCTTGTCTTGACGGTTTGTACATGAGACCTTCGCCATTCTTGTCCTGACGGTTCGTACCTACCGCCTTCATCGTTTTTCTTGTCTTGACGGTTTGTACATGCCACCTTCATCGTCTTTCTTGTCTTGACGGTTTGTACATGCCACCTTCATCGTTTTCTTGTCTTGACAGTTTGTACATGCCACCTTCATCGCCTTTCTTGTCTTGACGGTTTGTACATGCCACCTTCGCCTTTCTTGTCCTGACGGTTCGTACCTACCACCTTCATCGTCTTTCTCGTCCTGACGGTTCGTACCTACCACCTTCACCGTCTTTCTTGTCTTGACGGTTTGTACATGAGACCTTCGCCATTCTTGTCCTGACGGTTCGTACCTACCGCCTTCATCGTTTTTCTTGTCTTGACGGTTTGTACATGCCACCTTCATCGTCTTTCTTGTCTTGACGGTTTGTACATGCCACCTTCATCGTTTTCTTGTCTTGACAGTTTGTACATGCCACCTTCATCGCCTTTCTTGTCTTGACGGTTTGTACATGCCACCTTCGCCTTTCTTGTCCTGACGGTTCGTACCTACCGCCTTCATCGTCTTTCTTGTCCTGACGGTTTGTACATGCCACCTTCGCCTATATCTTTTTGATGTTTGTACATGCCACCTTCCTCGCCTTTCTCTCCTTGACATTTGCAATTACCACTTTTCTCTCCTGTCACTCTTTGGTGATTCCTACCTACCATCTTCTACTCCTCTCATTTCTGAATGAATATCTATGTATCTAAAATTACGGCACCCTTTTTATTGTTTTGTTAGCTGTCAAAGAATTGATACTCAAGTGGTATATTTCGTATAGAAATCTAAGTACGTGTTTGCTCTATATATTATGTATGTATATAAATGAACCCATTTTATTGTCTTGAAACTGTTTTGTTTCGTTTATGAACATGTGATGATAAAAAATACACGTATTATGTAATATTCTTACAACGTTGAAAAACCGTTAGTTCAAATTCAACATTGTTTCAAATAACATATAGTACTCGCTTGCTGTTGTAATAGTACTGTACAAGATTTCACATTATTTTCTCGTCAAAACAATCAAATCAGAATTATTGTTCGCAGGATTATCTACGTCATTCATAAATCCTAATGATGTTTCATGGTAGAAAGGCTTAATAGTGACGACAGGTGTACCGTGTAGTCACTGACTGTCGGTACAGCTACTGCACTATGTCTATTGACGAAATTATCTGTAAAGTTAGAGAAATTGTACTTTAATCGTTTATTCTAATATAGTATCTCGATTACAGTTAAGTATTATAATGATTCATTATCGTTTGTATCTCGAAATATTTGCATGAATTCCAGCCCATCAACCTATTTTCTGGATTCGGTGGATATCAAAACGCTGGTTCAAAAATTGAATAAAAGACATACAAATGATAAGCGCCTTTTAAATACAATTTGGAATTAGATACGGTAAAGCCAAATGATAAACAACACTGCGTCATACAGCTGTTTCCCTCCATCTAGTACTTATCAGTGATGCAAAGGTTCAAAGTCTTGAAAGCTAAGAGGCATCTGAGGGAAATCAAAATAGATTGAAAATATCAAAATCTAAACGAGAAGGTGCTCTATCCTCATGGTTGAGTAATTTTTGTAGTTTTCATTCCTTTGATAATTTCAAAAGCAAGTCAAACACATGTGTATGTTCTCAACGTTTCCGTTATTTGACTGAATGAAAACGTGTCATGTAGGTTAAGACAAATCTCGGGGCTGAACGTCAAACAGCATTAACTACTATAGTTCGGAACATTTTCCTCGGGCTGGTAATGTCAATAGAAAAGAAGCTCTTATAAAAGCCAGTAAAAGATTAGAGTGTGACGTGTGACCACACGGTCACCTTCATCAATCAGACAAATGACCAGTGTGGAGCACACTAGCACTGATGTACGTAGTGTACGAGATAGTAACACCAGCACCGACGTACGTAGTGTACGAGATAGTAACACTAGCACTAACGTACGTAGTGTCCGAGATAGTAACACTAGCACTGACGTACGTAGTGTCCGAGATAGTAACACCAGCACCGACGTACGTAGTGTACGAGATAGTAACACTAGCACTAACGTACGTAGTGTCCGAGATAGTAACACCAACACTGATGTACGTAGTGTACGAGATAGTAACACTAGCACTGATGTACGTAGTGTACGAGATAGTAACACCAGCACTGAACGTAC